TACTTGCCTCTAGTTCTTTGTAGTTTGCTTAGGGGGTGGGAACCCACTATCCTTATATGTTAACATGTCCATTAATATTGTCATTGTTCTGGTCTTGTTTATGCAGTCATTTCTAGGATGCTGTTTCACAGCAGAATGCCTGGTATTCTGGCTCTTACAATCTTTCCCCTTCCTCTTCTGCCATGTTCTCTGTGCCCCTGATGCAGAAGCTGTGATGTAAATGTATCTTTTGGGGCAAGAGCTTTTGATCTCTGCATTGTGTCCAGTTCTAGTTTTCAATTATAGTATCTACTTGTAAAGAGTGGTTTCTTTGGTGAGGGGTGGTAGATACACTTAACTATGGGGATAAAATTTAGAATGTAGTTAGGAATTATGCTGGGCTAGTGAGTGGAGGTAATAGACTTTTTACTAAGGTCCATGATCTTATTAGCTCCAGGAAGCTGGCTAGGTTTCCAGTATCATGATTTTCCTCCTGTTGAGTGGGCCTTACACCCATGTGAGTGCCACTTATTGTATCCTTACGCTTCCTGCCATGCTGGTAATTGCTGCGGTTCTTATACTGCAGCTGAGTAACTGCTTCCTTCCCTTGGCTGTTGGAATTATAAAAGCTAGACAGTCGGAAAGAGGTTTTTAGGTCAGATCCAGCTGTGATCGTCCAAACCCTGTGTCCTACATGTCTGGTGCCATCAGAAATGGGGTCCATCCTTAGCTTCTGAGAGGCATCCAGGGCTAGATCTATATTGTTTGGGGAGACACTTGGACTACTCTGACCATTTGAAAGGTTTCTCATGCTTGGTACTGGGGCTCTTGTTAGTCTATAATTCTTGTGGAGAGCGTTGTCAGCTCAAGTGGATTAACTTCGTTTAGGAAGGAACAGGCCTCAAGCACAGGAATAACTGCCCAACACAAAACAGGCTCCATGTTGATTTGTTTTTGTTGGTCTTTGTTTAGTTTTTTTCCCCCTTACTTTTTGTTTTTTTTTCCTCTTTCTTTCTCTTTCTTCCTTTCTTTCTTTCCTTCTTTCTTTCCTTCTTTCTTTTTTTTTGTTTTTGATTTTAGAGAAGGGGGTTGGATTGATTATGGTTGAGAATTAGGAGGGTAGAGAGGATCTGGGGCAGTTGGAGGAGGAAAACATATATGAAAATACACTGTGTGCCTGTCCAGCCACCCACACGCTGCAGAGCTCTCCTGGGCGCGGCTTCCTTTAGCTGTCAACTGTGTCGGGATGAGCTTGTTGGTTACGCAGTTGCTTTAGAATCATCTCCGCTCCTGTAGGTAACACCACACCCATTCTCCTGTTAGTAACCCCAATAAATGTCACTTGACCACAAGAGAGCTTTGGTCTACCATGACGCCTATGGTCTCATCTTCTATTACTTTTTCACGCCACATGTAGTTCAAAGCTGATTCTCAAACATGCTACATACACAGATAGTCCCAGCTCTTTGTACACAAGGTTTCCTTTTTTTGAGGAAACCTTTTTTCATCGCCAGGGTTTGCCCAACTCTCATTCAGGTCTTTGGTCGACATTACTTACCACAGGGCTTCTCCTGTTTAACTAGCACTGGTCTCATGTCCTAGTTTACTGGTCCGTGTGTCCTTTATGGTTTCATTTTAGTATCCTATACTGAACACCTACACAAAACCTCAGCACACGGCAGGCACTCCAAAAGTTTGATGGAATGAATGAACCTTGAAATTTCCTTCCACTGCCCTGATTCTCTTCCTTGTTGGACTCTTCTTCCATCTTTCTAAAATGTCCTCTAGATTTTCCTAAGAATCTTCATCTCAATGATTATATAGAGAGCAGAACCTTGAGGCCTTGTATGTCCAACCCAACTGACTACATGACTGCACACACAATCCAAGTACCACTTTGTATACTTGAGTTCTGACGCCATCACTGGGGTCTTTTAGTTTGGGTCGCGAGGTCTGCTGCGTGTTGACCTTGTTCTACGTGTGACCTGCTGCCTGTTGGGGGGAAATTAACTATGTTCTCCATCCAAGGCTGAAATTCTTGCCTTAGCGTCAGCTGCTTCTTCTCTTTCTTCTTCTTCCTCCTCCTTCTTTCTCTTCCTCTTCCGCCTCCTCCCCTTGCCCCATTCTGCCTTCTAAGGACGGGGTAGTGCTTTAGGAATTTAAAAATTGCTCCTTAAAATCCCCATTCTCCAAAACATCATTTTTCTGATGAACCTCATGGATTAATCTCAAATCTTTTTTGTTGTTGTTGTTGTTCTGAGAGATCTCTTTAAGTAGGAAAAAACCACCCTCATATCAGGTTTAGAAATGACCTTTAGAATTGAGGGTGTGGTCTCACACTTATAATCCCAATACTGATAATGCTAATGCAAGAAGACTGCTGACAGCTCAAGACCATATAGTGAGCAATGAGTTCCAGGCCAGCCTGGGCTACAGAGTGAGACCCCCATCTCAAAAACATAACAACTTTAGCAAAGAAGGTCACAACTGTCTTGCTGACTGGCTACATTAATTAACTCTAGTAATAGTGACAGAATTATTAAGATACTTCCTGATGGACATTACTCTATCAACTGAGGGTATGAACACTACAGCACCTGTGAATCAATTTCTCCATGACACAATACTCCACCATAAATACGTAATGAGTACATAGTACTTACTACAACCAATATACAAAACAAAATTGTTTTCCAGAGCCTCAAAAGAATATGAAAATGCTGTGGTTAAAAACAATTTGAAAGGCTGTTGAGATGGCTCAGTGGGTGAAGATGCTGGGAGCACAAATATAATGATCTGCTTTTGATCCCCAGGATCCACAGAAAGGTGGGAGAGAACAGACTCCACACCCATGTATAAATGCTGCTGCACACACCCTTAGCCTTACAAATCACAGACATGCACACAATAATTGCAACTTTTTAAATGAAAAAGTTTAAAGGTTTTGGCTTCTCTCAGCAATCCCTCAGGAAACTCAGCATCACCATAACCTGGACATATGCAGATTAAGAGTATACAGATTGGCCTATCTCCTGCTGTTATTTTTTGTGAATTCACCACCATTGTGCCTCCAACTTTCCCCTTTGCAATGAAGTGTGTGGCTAATCAAAGCACTGCCATTCACAGTGTAGGCTGCTGTGTTTGCTTGATTTAGTAACGTACAGGTAGTCTGTGATCTCAATTATAATATTTAACAAGGCCAACAAGTATTTAGAAATTAGAATTTTCTACTCTGATATTTTCTCTTCCAACTCTTGTATTGAATTATTTCAGTAGTTTCTCAGTTTCTAGGACCTCTTTCATTACATACTATTCAAATGTATTTTTTAATAAACACGTTCTTCCTGAAAATACCCAACAATCTTTTTCCTTTGTGTTCAACACTTTTCCTTCCATTTTTCATGTGACAGACTATCCATTGTCTGGTGAGAAATGATTCTTATGAATGGGAAGTTTTTTTGTTTTTTTTTAAAGCTGGAGGTCTTCAATGAAATAATTAGCAATACTTGTCATTGGAGCCACCACTCGTATTTGGTAACCAAACACTGATACATTATCCTTCCATAACACGGAAGATATCGGCTTTCCTAATGTACCTACTGTACCTGTGATATTTAGAGAGCTTCTGAGGAAGCCAGCGCTAGTCACTGCCATAGACAAGGCTCTGGAAGGAGAGAATCTGAGACGTGGTGGCGTATGAATGGAACTGAGAGGAAGCAAGAACCTAGGATTCTGGATGGAAAATGAAATTTTTTCATCAAATAAAATATGATTATTAAAGACAAACCTGGGGCAGAGACCAAATTAACATGGCCTCCAGGAAAAGACTAAGTGAAGTCCTTTTATTACTCCTTTAAGGCTTCCCAATGGGTTGAGAAGGCCCTGTCACTGAGCCTGGCTGTGTGGGAAGTAAGGAAGAGGCTTCCCGAGCTGAAGCCTTGCAGGTCTGTACAGTCAGGCCTGGGCACTCAGCAGCTCTCGTGTCCCTTTCTCTAATCTGTCCCTGCTGAAGCCTTCTGGACTTACTCCCCCATAACTTCACCTTTAGAGAAGCCCCCAATTCCTTTATTACACGTGTTTAAAAATTAGACTAACATAGCTGGGCGGTGATGGCGCACGCCTTTAATCCCAGCACTTGGGAAGCAGAGGCAGGCGGAACTCTGTTAGTTCGAGACCAGCCTGGACAACAAGAGCAACTTCCAGGTCCGGCTCCAAAGCTACAGAGAAACCCTGTCTCGAAAAACAACAAAACAATAACAACAACAACAGCAAAAATAATTAGACTAATATTTTAAGTGAGGTCTGCTTTTCTGACCAAATCCCACCGAAAATAGCTGTCTCCCCTGGAAGAGTCTGAGGTGAGATTGAATTTGCAACTCTATTTGACTTCAGGATCCTAGGTGGTGATACTGAAAGAAAGAAAAGAGACTATAAAGGAGGGGAACCCAACGTAAACTGACAAATCGCAGGATAGCATCGCTGCTGTGGTATGCAGTCCACGAAGAGACAGTATCAGTCTCTTGGCAAGTCTTCCTGTCTAACCAACCCTGTCATCATGTCACGGTGAGCAGGCTGAGAGCCTGGATACAATCCGCTGAAGGGAGCGGACTGTACCAGACACTTCTAGACATTAATCTAGTTAGTATCACTAACACTGCAGCTTACATCCAAAGCCCTTTCGGCAGCCACAGGGAATCCCACAAGCCTACTGGTATTGTCAGTGTGTAAGATGGGAACTAAGACCAAGTCATTTGTCAGGAGCTTAAGAAATAATGGGCTAACACTCTTCCTGGATGTTCAAGATGTATCTGATACAGTATCCGCAGATGGGCTGTGCACTGGCACAAAAAATGCTGGAAAACAGTTAAATGCCAGTGCAGTAAGGCACTCCCTGCACACGTGTCACGTGACCTACACAGGAGTACAGGGGCAGGAAAAAAGCAGCTTTGCACCCTCCAGCAGGTTAGCAGAGTCTTGTACATTTGTATGTCAACAGTCAAACCACAAAAATTGCAACAAAGCCAGCTTAGAAATGTTTATGGCTCAGATTCTGAGCGAGAGGTACTCAAAGCAACAAGAGCAGGGCTGAAGGGCCTTATACAGGGAGAACAGCTTAAGGCCATTCTTAGAGTTTATCACAGCAAAGAGAAACAAGGCAAATACAGCCAGTCCATTATTCCTACAGGAATCCTATGCTGCCGGGCTAAGCAATACTCTCATCTGAGGTGTGTGCGTTATTCCTGCCGTGAGATGGCAAATGAGTGGTCAGATCATTCTCCTCTGTTTCTTCAGCCTGGTAACTGCAGAACTGCATAAATGGCAATAGACTTAGCATACACCCGCTCTGTCCTGCCCCAATCAAGATTTTGCCCTCCTTAAATCAATTCAAGCTTACCTTTATTTCTAAAGGCATGTTTCAAACATGAAGAAATTTAGTTTAACCCCATATTGCTCACTCTTGAAAAATAAATTCCATCTCGTATGACATCCCTAGCACACCAAAACAGACCTGCTCTTAGCCCTGGGTCACCTGACTCTCCCAAACAGGCCATGTGCACATCCCTCCTGCAAGACCACATGATGCCAAAGCTCTCTGAGAGCAGACGCCAGGCAGAGGGAGGAAGTGTGGGCTTACAGAGACAGCACAAACCTCTGCCAATCTGTCATAAACTCTAGCAAATTGTGTTTCACTTTTTTTTGTTTTGCCAAAAGATCCTGACTTTGTTTAAATCCAGAGGTGAGGGTCAGTATAAGTGAAAAGATAAGACAATCTCTAATCATATATAATGTCAATCACATAAATGTAACAAAACATATTAAAATATACAATATATGCCCACACTGAAGAAGCAGCTTCTGAACTTTATCGTTCAATCAGGACCACCTCTTTAAAATTACCAAAATTCAAATTTTCCTTTAAAGAATATGGTAACAGGAACAAAATTGAAATTTCCCCAAGTCCTCTCACAGGCACTGAGCATGATTAACTCCCAGAGCAAACAGGCTCAGCTGCATGCAGTTTGTGAACATTAGACAGCACATGACAAGCGGAGTGTGCAGAACTAATGGATGAGCTTTGGTTTTGTCTTCTCTCCAGAGTCCTTGGCATTCTTTATCAAGCGGTACATAAAAGAGTAGAAGAATAAAAGATTGTCATATTGTCCTTTGTATTTCTCTTTCAGCATGTCACTATGGTAGTCTACCAGGAAGTAATAAATGGCTTCAATTGTGGAAAGGAAAGTATCTGGCTTCCCTTTTTGATGGCGCCAAAAGCAAGTTTTTCTTGTTTTCAGTTCAACTTGTAATAACTCTGCCAAACAAACAGAAAAGAGAACATGTGACTACTTCTCAATCGCATTACTACTGAGAACAATAATAATAACTGATGCAATAATATTCATTGATACAATGATAATTTAATTACCTCAAGGGTTTTTAAAGCACAGATAAGTTCCTTCTATTCCAATTCGAAATAGGGTATTATTATAAATGTACAGAGGCACACAGAGAAACAATGTGGCACAGAATGGAATCGTGTACATCCCCACTGTCCCTGTTTCTCAGACCTGGTGAACACATTAAACAGTCAACAAGAGAGTCTTCTATCTAAGGGTTTCTATCCTGCGAGCTTCTACCTAAAGTTCCTTTTCAAATTTTGACTTGTTGACAGAACCTGATTATCCATTCGCAAAAAGATTTAATTTATCTGATAATGCGATTTTTTTTTCTAAAACAGTTCCTATTTTTATTCACTCTCTTTTTTTTCCTTTATATTTTGATATAGGCTCTACATGGGGAGGAAGAGGGAGAGAAATACTGAAGGAGGGACGATGTAGGATTCCCCTCTGTATGCTGTGAATATGTTCTACTATCATTGGTTGATAAAAAAGCTTTTAGTCCTATGGCAGGACAGAATATAGGTAGGCAGAAAAACTAAACTGAATGCAGAGAAAAAGAAGGCAGGGTTAGGGAGACACCATGTAGCTACCTAAGGAAACATCAGAACCTTACCAGTAAGCCACAGTCTTGTAGCGACACACAGATTAACAGAAACAAGTTAATTTAAGATGTAAGAGTTAGCTAGGAATACACCTGAGTCATCGGCCAAGCACTGTTGTAATTAATACAGCTTTTGTGTGATTATTCAGGTCTGGTTGGCTGGGAAACAAAGTACAGTCTCCAATTTCAAAAATGGTGCCCAGTGTTCGGTAACATACATCCACATAAAGACTAAGAAAGCTTAAGAAAGGGCTTCTAGATCCACAAAAACAGGGGTCAATTGCAGCTTCTTGGTAGTCGCATTTTTCCAGATAGGCTCTGTTGCTGGCAGCTAGCAGAGGTGCTGCTCCTTTAAGCGATGACCGGCTCTAGCTCTTTCTGGAGGCTCTGCTACAGGGCACTTAAATGGGGTTTGTGAGCAGCATGCGGCAAGTTGCTTGATAGACCTGCTGTGTCCCTGCGCTGGGGCAATGAACATGGCCTGCAGAGCTGGTGGGGGTAAATGCACCTCCACTATATTGAAAGGCTGAGAGAGGTGGAGCCAGCAGCAGTAACCACGTTGCCTACCATTAAAAAAAAAAATGCTCCTTGTCAGAAAAGGATTTCAGATATGCAATAGGACAGATTCAGACATTAAAGACCTCGAAACAAGACATAATGTGTTTTAAAAAAACATACGTAGGCTTAAGAAAAAAGAAAATAAATAGAAGTAGTTATAGAAAAATAGTTTTAAAAAATAAATTCTTTAAAGAGACAGTAAAAATATAACAAAAAAGCTACATAAAAATGAAAATACACAAAGAATCTGGATTATGCATATTATTGTGTTTTCTTTGAATTTTTTGACTGCAGAGATATTTGATTCTGGGGGCTGCTAAGCCAAACCTAATATATATATATTTCTTAAAGGCATCTTGACTTCAAACTTTAAGTCTAAGGATATATCACTTTGGAAAAGAGGTTCTGTTTTTGTTTCTACAGAGGAGAGAAAGCTGTGGATTCCTTCCAGGCTAATGTGGCTTGATGGAACAAGATCCCTTCAAAGGTCTCCATAAACCCTAAAAACACTTTGTTCAACAAACAGCAGGAAGGAATTTGGAGAAAACAATGACCAAATTCCCAAAATGATCGTTTATAAATTGTTTTCATTTAAAGAGGGTTGATTATAAATGGCTAATAGTCACAATCGAGGTCTTACTAAAGAAAAAAAAGGGGGTATATGATAAAGAAATGAATACTTGGGGCTGGGAAGATGACTCAGTGATTAAGAGCACTGGCTAATCTTCCAGAGGTCCTGAGTTCAATTCCCAGCAGCCACATGGTGGCTCACAACCATCTATAATGAGGTCTGATGCCCTCTTCTGACCTGCAGGCATACATGTAAACAGAATACTGTATACATAATAAATTAAATCTTAAAAAATTGAATAGTTTACATTGGTATAGACTTTAGTTTATTGATACAAATTTAAGGTCAATTTTGTTATATGTATATTTCTAGTCTTGTTTAACAAATTATGTTTATACATCTCATTTAAAATATAATGCATAATTAAAAATTATGGATTAATAGTCATCTATAATAATCAAACTTGTAGTTAAGTTTTCTAGATGTGCAGAGATATATTTCAGATGGATAGGTATTCTTCAAATCTTTCAAAGAGCTACAGAATATAGCATTTAAAATATTTTAAGAACTTAAGACTTTTCTCAACCATGAGACATGTCTGCTTCTGGCAGCACCAATTACTTCGGAGAGGTTGGTGGGTACTGAAGAAACACGTTAAGGAATTTGCTTTCAATATGACAAGGCTAGCTATTTGGGCAAGAAACTGCTCTTGCCTGGACTTTTTGATGGTATGTTGTATGAACTGGACATGCTTGACCCACATAATAGTGACTGCTGAACTTTCCAAAAGACGGAATGGTCCTTCAGAGTTCCTGCTTCACAGAAAAAAACTGCCAGACATTCTTCAGGACACCGAAAAAAGTGACTGACAAACTGCTAATATAGGTAAAAGTCTTTCAAATTTCCTGCTTTATGGAAAAGTCTGCAAGATACTATGGGCCTGTAGATTGAAGATGGGTGCCCCAAGTTACAGTAGAACTTTGGGTGACTGTCCAGGAGGGAGATGTCTCTGTCGATTCTAGAACTTTGGAAGTTGCTTACAACACACTTCCTGTTTACTTAGGTAATATTATATCCTTCTGGGGTCTTTGATTGTTAAAAACAGATAGCTACAGCTATAGTTTTCCTTGGTTAGGATAAATGATAAATTAGTAGGAAACTTTAGACTCACAATGAAATATTTTAACTCCAATTCTTGTTTGATATCTATTTTTTATATGCAATTTTGCTATGTTAAAGTTAAAACCTTCCTTTTTATTTAGGCAGAAAGGGGGAGATGATGCAGGAGGCCCCTCTGTATGCTGTGAGTATGTTTTATTACCAGTGGTTAATAAAGAAGCTACTTTGGTCTTTGGCAGGGCAGAATATAGCAAGGTGGGAAATCCAAGCAGAGACAGAGGAGAAACGAAGGTGGAGTTAGGAAGAGACCATAAAGCTGCTGAAGAAGGCACCAGAACCTTACCAGTAAGCCACAGACTTGTGGCAATACAAAAATTAATAGAAATGGGTTAATTTAAGATGTAAGAGCTAGCTAGAAATACACCTGAGCCACCAGCCAAAAGCTTTTGTGTGATTCTTTGGGACTGAATGGCCACAGGACCAGACAGGACAGAAATCTGTTTACTGAGGGAGGAAGGTAACATAGCAGCAAAGAGGTCTGAATAAGTTATAAGGAATCATACTGTTAACTATCTACCTAAAAATACCTATAATACACGTAAGCAGGTGTATAAATATACATACATAGAGTAAATAAAATTTTCTCATCTTGGCTGACAATGCTCCCTCCAAGAACCAAAGATCTAATTAAAAAAAAAAAGCAAAACAAAACAAAAAAACTAAAAACACCAGGCATGAGAAGCCCTCTTGTGAGTTGTTGGGAAATGTTGTCCAAGAGACTACAAAACATTACAGGCTATTGTTACTGCCCTTGGTTGCCCCCCAGAGGGGGAGGGTAAAAGTCCTTATGCTGAAGACACTATGCACTTCAGACTTAGGGTCCAGAGGTCCCTGCGTTGGCCCAAGAGTCCCTTCCCTGAGTATTAGCTTTCATGGTACCAGAAGGCAGAAGTTTACCATGCAAACTTCAAAAATAATGCAACCAACAGTCATACCCAGCTACGATATCTATGAACCATAACAACAATCAGCTTAGCACGATATCCTAAGGGTACAGTAGGGGCACCCGTAATCTGGTGGTAACCAACTGCTCTCTAATCAGACTTAACAAACCCACTAAACAGAGAAATCATGCCTGGTACTAAAACCCTGGCCACTTACCCAGGGTTATGAACTCACGGCACTTACACACAGGGTTAGTGAACTCATGGATCTTGGAGGAGAATCTCTTTATACTAAACCAGTATAAATCCTTAACTATTTTCAACATGTCTTCATAATAAAAGTCCTCAAGAAAGTAAGGACAGAACATACCACAATATGATAAAAGCTATTTATGACAACCAGTAGCCAAAATTATACTAAACAAACAAAGGAAACAGAATACGTTTAACAAAGGAAAACAGAGTATTTCCTCTAAGATCTTGAACAGACAAGGGTGCTATTTTCCTGATTCCTATTCCATATAATTCTCGAAGTTTTAGCCAGAGCAGTAAGATATGAGAAAGACATAGGGAAGATCAAAATTGGAAAGGAAGAAATTAATCTATTGCTTTTTGCAGACAATGTGATTCTACACTTAAAACACCCCATGGGCTCCACTAGAGAACTTTTGGGCCTGATAAACACGTTCAGCAAAGTCAAAGGATACAGAACACAGTAGCTTTTATATATAGCAATAATAGGCTTGCAGAAAAAGAAATCAGGAAAAAACAGTCCACTATAAATGTTTCAAAAACGAAACAAAGCAAAATCAACCCACCCACCTAGCACTAATCTAATCAAGGAAGTGAAAGATCTCTACAAGGTGGGGAACTGGGGGAAAAAGGTGGGAATGTAAACTGTGTAGCCACTATAGACATCACTGTGGTGGATTCACAAAACACTAATAAATGAGACTGCCTTATATCTGTCAACTCAGTCATCTGGTTAAAAGAAACTAGCTAAGTCAGGAATTGCGAAGTAAAATGACATGAAACATCTTTACCAACAACAGAACACTTCAGACAGCAGAGTAATAAGCAATCTAAAATGAGAACCTAGAAAGTGATGTATCACAAAGT